GCTTTACAAAGGGGAATCAAGTCTGATCCACTTCATGAGGAGGGTTAAGAACTGTTTCATCCAACTACATCTACCACTTCTACTTTCAGCTCTCTCAGAATTGAGGAAAAAAGCAGCTTTTTTCACAGCATAAGCTACAATACATTGATTTCACTGAACAGCAGGACTTTTCGACAATACTAATCGATGACCTGCTCCAGAAACACCAATAGCTTCTAAGTAAGGTTGTAACCCGATACATGCCTTTAAAGTTGCATTTCTGCCTCACTGTCACTGATAGCAAGTTCACCCAGTTCACATGTAAAAAGGTAAAATTTAAAACTCAATTATATCATTGACCTTATTGTCCACAACAGGAAGGCACAGGCGTAGACAAGGAGGGAAAAATGTGTTTCTGCAGTTCTTTTTAACGTTAAGTTCTAAAATTCCTCTACTTACATGTGAATCAGAACAGATCCCAGTTCATTTCCATAGTGGTGTTGATTCTCCAAGACTAAGGAGAAGAAAAGTAGTAAAAACTTGATTTTGTTTCTAAACAAGCAGACAATATTGTGAATAAGCCCAGGGACTAGACATTAGATCTCTAGAGCAACTGGGTTCTTTTAGTAACCACACTTCCAAACTTTGACAAGATCATTTCAATTGGCCAGATCTTTGATGAATACTTTGTATTAACTGAGACCAAACTTTTCTAGTGACTTGTGATTTTGCATGCCTCAACTTTTGGATGCCCTTATTCAGTGATTTTAAAAGGTTCTGATACTCAAAAGAGCTGCCTCTCAGCACCTCCTGATAATCAGACCAGTTTAAAATCAATTCAGTTTGGCACTCAGAAACTGAAGAATCCATAAGCGTTAGTCACTTCTGAAAATTCACAGATTTCATTGGCATTAGGGCTTGAAGGGACCTCAGAAGATCATTGAGTCCAGCACCCTGCCCGAAGGGCAGGAAGTCAGCTGGGGTCATAGGATCCCAGCAAGATAAGCATCTAATTTACTCTTGAAGGTGTTCAATGTAGGTGCTTGAACCACCTCCGATGGCAGGCTGTTCCAGACCTTGGGGGCTCGGACAGTGAAGAAATTCTTCCTTATGTCCAGCCTGAAACGGTCACGGAGGAGTTTATGACTGTTCGACCTTGTCATCCCTTGGGGCGCTCTGGTGAACAAACGTTCCCCCAGATACTGGTGATCACCCCTGATAAACTTATAGGTGGCCATCAGATCACCCCTGAGCCTGCGGTTTTCCAAGCTAAAGAGCCCCACGGCTCTCAGCCTGTCGTTGTAAGGTCTGTTTTTCTGACCTCTGATCATGAGCATGGCTCTTCTCTGGACTCTCTCAAGCTTCTCCAAATCCTTTTTGAATTGCGGAGCCCAAAACTGGATGCAGTACTCCAGCTGCGGCCTCACCAAGGCCGAGTACAAGGGGAGAATGACATCTCGGGATTTGCTTGAGAAGCATCTATGGATGCAAGCCAGCGTTTTGGTCACTTTACTAGCCGCAGCGTCGCATTGCAGGCTCATATTCATCTTGTGACCAATGATGACCCCCAAGACTCTTTCTTCCATAGCGCTAGCCAGCGTAGCACTGCCGAGCCTATAAGGATGCTGCAGGTTTTTCCTTCCAAGGTGGAGAACCTTGCATTTTTCAGTGTTAAACACCATCAGGTTCTCATCCGCCCATTTGCTGAGCCTGTCTAGGTCTGCCTGGATCACCCGCCTGTCTTCTGGTATGGATGCTTTGTCCCAAAGTTTGGTGTCATCGGCGAACTTGTCAGTCTGCTTCTGACTCCAATGTCCACATCATTAATGAAGTTGTTGAACAATATGGGTCCAAGGACACGCCTTGGGGGACCCCACTGGTTACAGGGCACCATGATTGACTTCCATCAATTACTACCCTCTTGGTCTGACCATGGAGCCAATTTCCCAGCCAGCAGATCGTGGTAGACCCAAGGCCACAATTAGCCAGTTTTGCCAAGAGGTGATCATGGGATACCAGATCGAAGGCTTTTTTGAAGTCAAGATATATGATCTGGTCTGAAGGCAACAATTTAGAAAAGAAAGTACATTTTCATAATTGTAAGAATTGAATGAATAAGGTACTGCTCAAGATGGCAGAATTGTTTGGGATAATTCTAGTGTGCCTTGCTTTAGTAGTAAATGATAGGACAATTCTAAAATATTAATTGCTTTTATGAAATAAAATACCTATAAAAAGGAAAACAGACAGACCTGCTAAATTTACTGAGCAGCAGGACTATACTGATGACATCATCAATGTACTTTATTTGAATAATGTATTTTATAGCTATATGGTCTATCCAAAACAGCATGAGTGTCAAACTCATGTGGCCCCACAAGCCAGATGAGTGACATGGGGCTCATCCACACGTCAGATGGAGGCAATGGTCTCACACTGGGTAGAGCAGGTACCATGTGCAATACAAGTCCAAGATCATCCGGGGTGAGTGCCACATGTAGCACAGATCCTGGAGTGGCCAGAATGGGCGGAGCAGGTGACATATATCCTGGCCCCTGCCTGCTGGACTGGTTGGGTCAGTTCAGACACAGGGGTAGCACTGGGGACTGGCTGTATGTTTAACACCCTCACAAAACACCCCTGTATGGCACATCCAATTCATAACTGGCCCATACAGACACATATCTAATTCATAATTCTGTTTGTAAAATTTCTTTACAACACATGATCTACATTTATTTTATTTTTATTACTTGTTTTTACATTAGGGATATAATTGTCATCTATGGATTAATGGAAAACTACCAGAACAGTGGTTTTCACCCCTTTTAGATTCAAGGTGCCCTTTGGAAAATACTGGCTCTTAGCTTTTAATCATTTTTGGCTACAGAAAAATAGAGCAATTTTTCTATTGCAAAGAATTCAGAAAGGCCACAACAAGTCTGAGTATTTTTGACACTGCAGTTTCATATTTGAAATTTCTGGGTTTATCTTGTTAATTATAGCTGTTTTCACACCTAGCAGTACTAATATTGTACAGCAGCCTTAAAAGGATCTCTCAGCAGTCTGACTGAGGATCACTGTCCTAGAACATATTATCACAAGTATCAAGGAACTGACACCAGATTGTTTGGAATAGGCAAATCAGTTACAGCATGCTGATATTTTTGGAACATGTATTTAATGAAAGCTTTCAGAAGAAAAAAAAAATCAACACATTTGGAACCCAATAGTCCCATAATAAAATCAAGAAAGATCAGGCTTCATATTTATATACTACTCAGGTCAAAAACTGGAAAAATGTTTCTAAGCCTTTTTAGCTAGCTTTGTACATCATGGCACAGCACAAAAAACAATACCACTCCCTTTACAAACCACCTTTAGAAACACCCAAGATTCAACTGACTTCTTTTTATCAAGCCCAACGTATCTAAAAGAGCATGCACTCCCTGGGGCAGAGAATGTAAATCAGAACTAGGGTGAGCTTTTTAAAGAGCAGCCAATGTCAGTAGTATGTTTCTGTACAAACAAGTACCGATTTTTCAGTGACTCAAGACTAAATGTCCCACTCACTGAATGAGAGTCAAAAGATTCATTTTTAAAAAACAGCCTGGAATCTGAAGCTCTAGCTAGATACTATTTCCCATCGCATATCAGCTCCAGTAATAAAAATACTTAAGTTAGAACTTTATGATGACATGCATGGCAGAATAGACTTGCTTGCTCTTCCTGTGGCTGTGTAAGGGTTAACAGCGAGAAACCTTGGTTTGCGTCAGCAAAATCAGCAGCTCTGATTTGAAGACACATGGGGAGCAAATATGAAGACTAAGAAGGTGCAAGTTTTAAACAATCACTTTTCTGACAATATTACTACTTTAAGGAACAGGAAATCAGTAACGTTAGAGGGAGGGACTGGATCTTTGGAGAGAGTTACCTCATCATAATAGTGAAGTATGTGAAGCCCAGAGAGATTCCAACCACAGATAGCCCAAAGGAGGACATTACATCATGAATTTTGTTAGATTCTTAAAAAAGCAAGCTCCTTTTCATCTTGCCACCCAAAGTTTTTCATTGGGATCCTCAGAAATGAAACAATCATTTTTGCAAGTAAAAAAGTCACTGTTTTTCACTGAAACGACATTTCTCAGTGAAAATGGGGAACTCTCTCCCTAACAGTAATATGCTTCTGGAAAATTGCCTCTATGTTTGCTTTTATGTTTGTACGTGCATACAGTGAAATTTCACTTGGAAACAGTTGCACAGTATAAAATGATTTCTATCCTAATACAGCAGAAATTTGATGTAGGACTGAAAAAAAGAAGTTAGCACAGGGGCCGCAGACAGGCAGAGAAAGGACCATCTCTCCTACCGAGGGTCATGGCATTCAAATTATTAGCATCTGTATCTCAAGAGCCCAAAAGCTTGCAGAAAAAGATTTTTTTTTTTTGCAATTTCTCACTTGGTCTAATAAAAAGTATCATTTTGGAACCAGGAGTTCTAGATTTTTGCATTTCTTTTTGTCTTAGACCAACACAGCTACCACATACATACCTGAAACATGGAAGATGCCAAATTTTAGCTGATTTTGGATTATAAACTTAACTTCTATATCTCCCTACCTGCCATCTGACACCACCAGGGAAGAAATCCTGCTTGATCTACACAACAAAGAGCAAACTTCCAAAGAGACTCTCATGGGCCCAGAGGGTCAGTTTTCCAGCTTCTGCTTCCTCTGTGCAAAAATGAAGTTTATTTCCTGCCTGTGGGGACTTTTTACCATCTTGAACTTTCCCTGAGCCTGATGACAAGCACATGAGCCTGAACGCTTGCAGAAAAAGAAAAAAAAATTGCAGTTTCTCAGTTGGTCTCGGTTGGTCTAATAAAAGGTATTTTGGAACCAAGAGTTCTAGATTTTGCTTTCAAGAATGTGAAGCACCCAATGGTAGTGAGACCAGGCTCTAAATTGAAAATTATATGCATTTGAGTATCTCTCTCCTCTCCCCCATTAATTTCTCACCTTTCTTGTCTGCAAGTCATGATACTGCAGTATGAGCCTAGTGTTGACACTGTGACTCCATGTGTTCCCCAGTGCTGCCATCATACACCCAGGTTCCATCTTCCTGCTCCCAGGTGCTCCTGAAACTAAAAACAAACAGATATATTCAGTCCAATCTGCTATGACTGCGCCCGAGATACATGTTTGCTGAGCAACCATTATCAAGTTTCCCAGTTAATTCCATGAGCTAAGCAATCATCTCTCACATGTAAATTTAGCTCACATTTTCAATTGCCTGAACTCTGCTTTCCTGCCTTCTAGGTCCCAGTTTCCAAGGGCTAGGAAAACAAGGAAGCAGATTAGCAAAGAGAAGTTCTTAAAAGGAACAATAAAGAATGAGGTTTATGGGGCATAACTGTGGAGCCAGCAAAGATGGTAATCATGCCTCTGATCTAAAAATTAAACAACAATCCATACTACTAGACATTTGACAGATTCTGTAAAACTTGTAGAGCAGGGATGAAACTGGCCCTCTAACTGGAAGTACAGTTTCAGTATCTTCTCAATCACGTGAACTTTCTATAACCTTTGAGGAAAATACTTTTTGCATACTCTGCTCTGATCAGTAATGATAACATAGGCAAAGGCATTTCCAATAATGCAGCATGACCTGGCTTGCTAAACTACCATTCCACCTTATTTTTCTAACACTAAAATTGGAGACCTATCTATACATGCTGACAAAAGCCTCAGGCTTTTCTCTCTTGAATACCATGTTCCATATAAGATGTAGACATAGAAGGCTGATTTGTTTTTATTCCAGCTGGTACTTCAACAACAGAAAAATGTGGATGAATTGGAGGAAATTCAGAGAAGAACATCAAAAGTGATTAAGGAAGTAGATGGAACTGATGTATGAGTAAAGAGAGGAGCTGTTGGAGGTCATCTGAAAGGGAGAAACTAAGAATATCGGACTGAATCCAAACAAGAGAAAATTAGACTGGATGTCAGGAAACTTCTTGACACGTTGGGCGGCATGATTGCTTCCCAAGGACAGTAGTGAAATACCCACCACTTGAGACAAATCTAAATCTGGACAAAGGTTTGGAAAATAAACTGTGGAAGAATCCTTCACTGCCCACCAGGGTATGTACCTTAATAGATTTTCTTCCTTCAACTTTTGTGCTGATATGCACAAAAAATCCCTAAAATGACCTCCGCAAGTATGCACACAGATATAGTGTAGAGACCCAGTCAAACTGGGAAATAGAAGGTGCAGTGAAAAAACAAATGAGTAGATATTATTCTCCAAATAAAATTCCAGAATAGTCAAACATTTCTGTTAAAACAAGCCATAGTAAAAATAGTTAATGTTCTCATTTACACTTTGATAATTTATTCTGGTTTATTTATTTGCTAAGATGAAAAGGGATGTTGACATCTCAGCTCGAGCCACTGGTTCAGGCCGTCTGCAAACTCAGAAGCAGCCCCCTTCATCACTTTTCCACTTGTGAATCAAAAAACAAGAAACCAAACTAGCAAGTGGTGAGCTCAGCTAACCTGGCTTTGCAAAAATTTAAGGATGATGAGAGCTATTAGTATGTACCTTCTCCTCAAACAATACCAGATAATAAGAGATGCATCATAGTCAGGAAAAAGAAAACATCAGGAAAATATGTTAAAATTCAAATATTCTATTAACAATTCTTCTATTTACTGTCACTCCAAATACTATTTATTCATTAATGTGCTCTTAAACGGAGGCAAACAAATATAAACAGCAGAAATATAGTACAGGTTTCCCTCATTTTATGATGTACATGAATTCCTGGAAAATGCCACATAACTCAAGTTTGCATAAAGGGAACCCACTTTACAATGTAACAAATAGGGATATGTTCCAAGACCTCGACTGTACTGACCCCCAGACCCATTTCTACCACTTTTACAAAACTGTTTTGGTACTCACCAACCGCAGACAGTACACACAAGCACAGGGCACTATCATAATGGGGATGGCAACTACAGAAACATGTCACAGATAATGAGCAAGGAGCACAGGTCCACACAGAAGACTATATTTTGGTGCCCTTCACTCCCACAATGCACTGCACAAAGCAGCTGACTGCAGGCTTGCACCACAGTGATAGCATAAGAGTGAATTTACCTCACATATAACGAATTTTTGGGAATAAAAAGGGTCATTGCATAAGAGTGAATTCGCACATACAGAAGGCGCATAAAGCAAGGGAAACCTGTAATGCCTTGCAACAAAGCAGCAATAGAGTATCCTACACAAGCCAAATGGGCTTTCAATAGAGGAACATGGGTTGCTTACAGACTTAAAAAATCCCCTAAAAATGGCACTTCACTTTAAACTTCACACACCCAGCATATGCCCAGAAGAGGCATCATGTTAGTTGGACATGGTTCACTCAACAGACTGGACACTTTAGTGGGGCTTTTCTTGCACTTTTATCTAATAGCTGACTAAATCAGCTATTAGACAGAAGTGCCAAGAGCCCTGCTGAAGTGCCCAATCTATACAGACATTGCAAAGCCAGATCGAAATAACGCACAGGCGTGGAGACCATCTTACTACCCTAAAAGGCTGATCTAAAACCCACATAAATCACTTGGATAAATCAATGATCTATTGGGCTTTGGATGAGGCCCTGAAATTTTTGGGGTCCACAAAAAATGAATGAGGAATCTGATCCAAGGCAAGTGGATGTCAACTCTTCCCTAGTTTACTTTCCTTCCCTCATTGTAAACAAGCACCTACTCTTGTCCAGAACAATATCTTTTCTGGTTTGCAGACAGTTTATAAGAGCACTAATATTGTGATGAGGATTGCTTTTCTTTAATTAAAATGAAGGGATGAATGTGCTTTATACACATCAAGCTTCCACTTGGATAAGTGAGTCCGGTAGCATCAAAAAGGAAGTTGCAGCATCAAATCTGTAATTATGTTTGTTTAACCAACATGAATTGAAAAGGTATATGGGCTGACAAATAACAGTTTCTCTTCATCTCTTCCTCCAATGCAGTTTGCCAGCTGGATAAAGGAGTAGTTAAGTGTTAACAACAGAGGACTAGGTGATCTAAATTCCATCTCCAGCTTTGCCAGTGACCCTTTTAGTAACGGAGCAAGTTATTTGCTATAATTCATTAAGATTTGCAAAGTGTTTAGAGATTATTTTATAAAGCACAGAAATACTCTGAGATGATTATTCTAGAAGATTTAATGTGAATGACAGGAGCAAAAGGCAGCCTAAAGACTTTACAGCTCTCTTTTAGTCATGTAGAATAAGGTTGAGGCCCTCATCCAAGCCATTATTCCTTTCTTTTTTTCACAGCTAGAAATGGAGAAGCCCAAAGCTGAAAGGCAGTCAGATGTGAGCTTTTATTTGGCCTGTCATAGATGTAGCAGCTAGCTGTGAAGTTCAGAGCAAAACTTTCCTAAAGTTCTGTGCCTCTGTTACTAGATAATATATGAAATAAAGTCTGGACTTTACAAAGTAGAGATGGCAGCTGGGCTGGGCAGTGAAATGGTTAACCATTTAGGGCCCAAGTGGAGGAGACATCACACCATTACTCTTCCTAAACCTGCATTCATTCCAGACCTAAAACTCCTTTGGATGTCAACAGGAGCTCTAGAGGCACAAAGAATGCAGGATAAGGTTCGTGGCAATTTAAAAGGAAGCAGGCAAGCTAATTGCTGTGGCCTCAATTGTATCAGGCTGTGTCAGCACCTGTCTGAAAGAGGACTGTTTGTGTGTCCCACTTCCAGGCAAACTCTCTTCTATGAAGCTAGTTAAATTTATGACTCTGGTGCAAAGTGGTTATTAAAGCCAGAGCAAATTTATGGCACAAAACTTTTACAGGGTGCAAAAGAATGCCTTGCAGAAAAGGTTTCCATTTTAACGAGATACTCTGGGTCTTGCTGTAATTTTAGGCATTAGGTAAGAAACAGAAAGGAAACTTGCAAGTGGTGAGCTGAGTTGAGGGGGAAATAGTCAGCTCTGAAAAGAGGTTCAAGAACACTGGCAGCAGATATTCTGTCCCTTCTCCTTACAACAAACACTAAGAGACAGCAGGGGAGAAGAAATGACAGGAAAACAGACTGCAGTTCAGATATGCTGTTAAAAATGTCCTCTTAGTTTTTATTTCAAATATCATTTAAATCTTGAGTGAGCATTTAAACGGAAGTAAACAAAGGATACTGCATTCACACCTTACCCACATATTCTGTCTCTCCCTTAAACCTCCATCTCCAGTATTTTCATATCTAGAGGCTTCTGTATCAGATCCACTTGGCACTGTGCCCAAAGAGACCCTCATCAAGAACAAAAGGGAGATTGGTAATGGATTATCTGGTGTTCCTTTGGCTGGAGGTTATTCATTCTAATCCAGCTCAAGTTCAATAACGTGTATAAATGAGTGGCTGGCTCCAGTCCACATCACAAAAACCTAAGAACTTATATTAAATGGCCTTTTTGTTGGCAATAGCTGCATGGTGGCCAAAGAATGGATGAGGATGAAAAATGTACTGCCTTTCCCTCCATAAAAGGGGAAAGCCATTCCACCTCACAAGAAATTCAGTCAACAGGCAAGAAAGCCCCCTTAGCTGAACAAAGAACTGTTGGACCTCATTAAACTGAAAAGAGAACCCTACACCAGTTGGAAAACAGGAAGCATGACCAAAGAGGACTACTCAGCACTCTCCCACACCTGTAGAGAGCAGTCCAGAAAAGCCAAGGCACAACTGAACTCAGACTAGCTACAGGAATCAAGGACAACAAAAAGTCCTCCTTCAGATATGTGGGAAGTCAAAAAAAGAACGAAGATAGCATTGGGCCCCTGAGAGACCTAATGGAGCAACTGACATCCAACGCCCAAGAAAGGGCCAATCTTCTAAGTGACTTTTTTGCATCAGTTTTTCACCCTCTCAAGGGGATCACACTGTCAGAAATGACACAAACCATTCTGGGAGCAGGTGACAGGCCCACAATTGATGTGATAATCTCCTTCTATGGCTAAGTAATATGTGCCCTGGACAAGGGAATGACGTGCATGTCATACATCTGGATTTCAAGAAAGCCTTTGACCTAGTTCCCCATGATGCCCTCATGGTTAAGCTGGG